TGTAAAATAGAGGGTAGCCACTTTAAGCTGGGAAATAATTATGCAGTCCCTTTTATAACTTTTCTGTTTAATTAATAATAATTTGATTTTTCAGCTGACATGAAAGAGGTTTTGTTTTTTAAATTCTTGCCAAAAAAAAGCCACATTATATTGCCCACAGTTTCATGTTGAATAGTAATAAAAGGATGAAAGTTCTGTGGCAGGTGAACAGTTTCTATACAGCTAAAAATAAAAGATAAACAAAAGATTAAATAAAGGCAGTTAAGATATGTTGTACCAAACAGAATCAGTCAGCTACGTAGACATAAAGGATAAACATGTGACTACAGCTGCGACCAAACTGGACTAAACACTGACGGTTCTGTTTCATTAAATCGACTGCATCCACTCGCTTTAAAGACCCCGGACATGATGGATGGTGTTGACGATGTTGAAGTGCCGCGCTGTGGGGCCGGCCGGGGACTCCTGAAGAGCCAAACGGGAACAAAATCGTTAAAAGCTCTGCAGGTGTTTCCTCTGATCAGATGGGCCATAAAGGCACCTGTTGACAACACGCCGCGCACCGAAACGTCGCTCCCGGCGCGCCGCAAACTCCAAATTAACACGCAAAGGACACGCCGGATATTTTTAACGACGGACTCGCGTCGACATCCAGCCTCCCAAAATAGACCCTTACACAATGCACCCGTCCCGTTCGCTTCAAAGAGCCAGACGGTGTAATGAGGGTGCTGAGATTCTTTGAGCAGAGCTGCAGAGGTAGCCCTGAGAGAGAGTTCCACATGATGAAACAAATCCTGCAAAATAAGGCAGACAGAAAGCCTTCAGGGGAGAACTACAGCCGCGACTTTCCCCTCAAAACAAGGTGATCAGCTCTCGTGGCTGATTCTTGTCGGGCGTCCTGAAGATGAAAAGGCAGAGTTTATCAGATCGGGTTTGAAAATGTCGGCTTGCCTCTCTCAGAGGGCCAAGATGAGTTACGCTACGTATCCTGTAGCTGCGTGCACGGCCGTATACAACCCTTTTATTCCCCACACAGATGGACGGTTATGACCAATAACTGCTCAGCTGTTTGTCTGCGAGCTGCTCAGAGGAAATAGTCCTGAACAGAACCATCCATCCCTCCCCATAAAACAGGTCGACCAAAGCTAAATTAAAGACGGATATACACATCGAAGGCGATTCTTTTCTTGGACGTGGAGCAGTCTGAGTCGCTGGATGTAGATTGCAGATTCATTTAACGCTATCAATGCTTTTAAAGCCCCTTCACGACGAGAAACAACAACAACAAACTCCAACTTTCGCGCCGAAAAATTCCCTGTGTGCAAATGTTCCACCATTTCATCTGCTCAATATTTTAAGGAAACACCAACTTCTAACAATCTATACATGCCCTCTTACCTCCACCCTTCAGTTTGTCTTCTGGACTGAATGTGCAGGACGAGCTCTGGGCTTTGTCTGAACCACTCGCATTGGGTTTCGTATCCAGGAATGTTTAATTGAACGTTTGAGTTGGGAAGCCATGATTTTTCTTCTCCGTAGCAATAATATAGAACTTGTCCAGTTGGGGCACTATCGGATCAATCGTACTTGCTCAGTAATTGTTCTAATATTGGCCACAAGTGCAAAACAGAGTATACCTCAGACTGGAACCATACTCTACATCGTTAAACCTCCTGTTGGCGCCAATCACAGGAAACAAATTTGACCTCTCAGGGTGAAAACTAAAGGCTTAATGGTTGGTGGAATGTCGTTATTTTGACCAAATTTGCACCATCCTATACCCAGTTTGATTTATTCTGTCAAAGCAGGGTTCTACCATGAGAGACCACATGTACATATCAATGAACCTACAAAATTTAAGGTCTCCAGCTACATTATTGCTCAAGGTATGGGACTTCAACTTCAAATCTGCAGATTGGCGCAAAGGAAACGACGGAAGAACCGACATGACTTTCTTGAAGAATTTTAAACTCAATGACCCGTAAAGCAGACCGGTCCTCTACGCCTTACCTTGTAAATGAAGCCATAAGAGACGTTCAGCCTCAGTGTTAGTGACACAAAGTGACCAGTAGGATATCAGTCGTCTCCTCGGTGTTGATGAATAGTTTCACTGTCCGTCTCGGTGTCTGTTTAAATTGCACCACGACGTGTCACGGCTCGTTTGGAGTCCAGGCGCCACTGCTCATCGCGGTTTTTGACTGTTGAACCTTTTGAAGGGGAGGAAACTCTAAAAGACAGACCCTGACTTTCACAGTGGAAAAGAGACCAGATGTGAGGTAACATTTGCCAATAAGCACAAAACAAAAGTCTCAGCGAACACTGACAGAAACTTCACTGGACGTTCAAATGGAAAAACAAAAACTCACCAAAGTTGTCAGTCTTCATCATCCAGGTACTAAAAAAGTTTAAATGATTCAAAGCTGTATATATATATGTATGTAAACTATAGCAGCATATTTGGCACAGCAGATGTAAAAAGTCACCGAGAAATGAAATTAGTCCAGATTGAATCACCTCAAAATATTTACATTAGTTCTAAGTTGAACAGCGTTTCTTCTTATGAACAATCAAAAACAAATCCTTTAGAAAGACCGAATTGAAAACTTCATTCACTTGAGCCCACCTGTGATTTACCATAATTCTACCTTCATGAACATGGTTCTAAAATGAGCCGTGAACAGCAGAACCTTCTCAGTTTTGGATCTATGGATGGATCCACATGGGAAACAGTTGAACAGAGCAACTGAAAAGTTTGACTGAGAGACGTCACAAAGATGGAAGATCAATTAAAAACCAGTGAAGCCCAGTGAGAGCAGTGATCAGGAGGTCTAGAAGGAGCCATAGTAGCACTGATCAGGGCTGCAGTGGTCGTCCTCCTACAATGACTCCACAAAATGCTTCAGACTTGGTCCAGGAGTTATCGATGGAAACCAGAGTTAGTGTGAAGCTCAGACAGTGCGAAGGTCAGAACATCAACCTCTGTGGATGGAGGACAAGAAACCAAAAAGCCCTACTCTTTGGTCCAAAACTGAAAGCTTAAACCTCACAAAAATGCAGGAAAAGAAGCCTGATGGATGTTGGAGAACATTCTCTGGTCAGATGAAGATAAACTTGTTGGGCTCCAGATGTTTGGTGTGAACCTGACCAGGACCACCACAGTGGATGAATGGTCCTCACAGTGAAGCACGGATGGATAAACCAAAAAACTGACCGACTAGATGACTCCTGGTCTACAGAAGATTGAAGAAGAGGAACATTCCAGCAGGAGAACCATCCAAAGAACTAGAGTTTCTGTAACAACAATGAGGAAACTCCGACCTGGACAAGTCTGTGTCTGGACTTGACTCCAGTAGAACATCTTCAGGTTCATGACACACTTACTGTCGACTCTCTGACTTTATCCTGAAACCTCCTCAAGTTCGTCCTGATGTCTTTAACACTTTTGATGGTGCACAAGGTAGAATAGTGTCGGTAAAATCCTCGCTGAGATGTTCATGTGGACACAACTGGATTTGAAATAGCAGATGAACAGACCCTGACAACATCTCATCCTGCTCGTTTACACCAGAGAAGTTCCTCAAAGTGTTGATCGACGCATTTAGCTCGCTTTTATTATCCACCGTTAAAAGTGCAGCGGAGCGGCTTCGTCGGCAGGCCGACGGAATGTCGTGTTTGTTTTCGGCTCGGAGGAGTTTTCACGTCTCATTCATCACTCCTGACAGCGATGCAGACTTTTATCCAAACAGCCGAAGGTCCAGACGGCCGATTCATGGAGCGAAAACAATAAACAGAGAAGTTAGTCGAGTAAAACGTGTTTACCGAGAGTCACAAATGTCACTAATCAAGTAAAAGTTCTGACATAAAAGAGTCCAAAAACTTCTCGTCTCATAGTTCAGACTGAATCAGAACTGTGATGGTTTTAGGGGAGAATTTAGTTTCCTCAGAATCTCAGAATAAACTTCCTTTGTTGCTCATAAGATAGTTTTTTTTTTTCCTTTTTTTCTTTTTTTGGCTCACAATCTAGAATTTTCAGGTCTTTTTTTTATAGTTTATTTTTCAAATTTAAAAAAAAAAAACTGCTCAGAATTTTTGAGTTTTTTTTAAAAAGCCATACCTCAGGTTTTTTTTTCACTCATAATTTTGACTTTTAATTTAATATTTAGTCTTTTTTTAACTATTAATTTTCCTTTTTTAAAAGTTTACAATTAGATTTTTTTTAAAAAATCTAATAATTTTACATGTTTGGTGCTCATAATTTGACAGTTTAACCCATATTTCCTGTTTTCGGAGCTCATATTTTAGATTTTTAAGCTCATAAGTTTACATTTTTGTGATGTATTTATATGTATGTTAATTTTATAAAAACAATTATTTCTGAGTGGTATTTGTGACTCTTGACTTCATGTTTTAGATTCTTCTTAGATCATGATTTGCTCGTATATTAGATTTTTCTGAATATTTTTCATATTTTTTTGTTGTGATTTTGATTTTTTCCAACTTTCATGTATAATTTCACCCCTTTTTGACAATTAATTTAGACTTTTTACGACATTGATGTTTTTTTAAACACATTCTGAAACCTTTAGATCGTAATAATCCTTTTTGTTTTGCTTTTATTTAGGCATTTATGACACATTTGATTTTATTTGATATTTTTTGCCCAAAAAAGTTGTATTTTTTTCCTCTAACTTATCATTTAGATTTCTTTTAGCTTATAATTTTTGCTTTTTTTCTGTTTTTGGGTCAGTCTTTTTGAACAATTTTGGCTTTTGAACTTATAATTTGTTTTTTTTTTGCATTCAATTTTTCTTTTTTTTTTTTTTTAGCTCAGATTTAGTTTTTGTTTGTTGTTTTTTTGAGCTCGTAATTTGGATTATTTAGCTCATAATTTTCCATTTTTGGAGCCTGAGTCTGAAGGTTGTAAATAAAGACGCCGAGGAGTGCTTGGCCGCCGTCTCTGAGAGCTGCTGGACGTCTGCAGCTGTGTTCGCATCTCAACGGAGTGTTTGGCGGCGGCGGCAGTAATCACAGGATCAGCAGCAGTGTGACGTCGGGTGTGATGTGAAATCCGAAGAACAAAACAAAGTGAAACAGCAATCAGGAGGAGTAAAGGAAGACGAGTGCAGCTGGCTCATTAACAGTCACAGCTCATTAGGGCCGCCGTAATCAAAATTCAGAAACCATACTGGGCTCCCAACAAATTACCGACACTGCGACGGCATAATGAGAGCAAAAACAAGATGTCAGTTAAAAGTGAGTCTGCAGAGTCGAACGCTGCCTCCTGTCAGCGGTCCGCGCTCCGCTCGGGTCTCGGCAACGTGTCGTCGTCGTCGCAGCCCGAAGCCGAGAGCGGCGCCGGGACCGCAGCCAGCGCGCACTTTTAATTAGCGCCGCTGCTTCTCATGTATTTATTCTTTTCTTCTCGCTGCTCTCTGCCAGTGTACAGTCAGTGTGTGGCGTCGGTTCAACCCAACACACACCGAGCGAGCGGCGCCGAGAGCAAAACAACGGGTTGTTATGGTTCACGCATCCCCGCGGAGGGATTACCGAGCGGGCTCTGGGGCCTCGGCGGCGTCCAACTGCTGACATTTCTGCTCGGAAATTTAATCAAAGGACGACAAAAAGATGCAACACAAAGAGAGACAGTCTTATAGGGATGCAAAACCAGCGCAGAAAGCTGGAAGATGCAACAGAATGCAAAGAGGTGCAAAACAGCCACAAAGAGATGCAAAATGACCCACAAAGAGACACACAAGTACCTGAAAAAGACGCAAAACCACAACAGAGATGACAAGCGATCAAAGAAAATGTGTAAAACAACCACAAACACATGCAAAATGACCGTTAAGATGGGAAAAAAACCACAAATAGACACAAAACAATATGTAAATATGTAAAACAACCATAAAGAGACACAAAATGACCACAAAGAAATGCAAAACAATCTGTAAAAGATGCAAAACCAGCTCAAAGAGATGCAAAATGACCCACAAAGAGACACAAGTACCTGAAAAAGATGCAAAACCAGCTCAAAAAGGTGCAAAATGACCTGCAACAAAATGCAGAGATGTAAAGTGACACACAAATACCTGAAAACGACACAAAACCACAACAGAGATGACAAGCGATCAAAGAAAATGTGTAAAACATCCACAAAGATATGCAAATTAAGGTTAAAACGGGGCAAAAATCCCACAAATAGACGCAACACAACCCTAAGAAATACATAAAGAGAGACAAAATGACCACAAAACTACAAAGAAAACTCTCCAAATGGTGCAAAATGACCACAAAAACACACAGAACCCACACAAAAAGTTCTAAAACAACTTTACAGCTCATAATTTAGACTTTAGGTCTCATAATTCCAGTTTAAAGCTTAAAATCTAGATTTTAAAGCTTTGAATGTTGACTTTAAAGCTCCTAATTTCAACCTTATAACTCATAATTTAGACTTTAAAGCTTTAATTTAGACTTTAAAACTCATAGTTATGACCTTAAAGCTCGTAATTGAGACATTAAAACTCAAAATTTTAGACCTAAAGTTTCTAATTTAGACTTTAAAGCTTCTAATTTTAACTTTTTAGCTTAGAATTTAGACTTTATATTTCATAATTCTGACTTTAAAGCTTCTAATTTAGATTTTAAAACTCATAATCCTGACTTTAACGCTCATAATTCAGACTTACAGTTCATAATTTAGACTTTATAGCTATTAATTTAGAGTTTAAAACTCATAACTTTGACTTTGCAGTTCATATTTTAAACTAAAGCTCATAATTTTGACTTTATAGCTCATCGTTTAGGATTTATAGCTCATAACTCTGACTCGGTACCGGCTGCGTCTAACAAGGACACTCTGAGGCTGCAGCCGACAGCAGCAAACAGAACCCAGCAGTCAGAGGGATAAAGGTCAGGCTTGTTTTCAGAGAACAGACGCTGTTTTCTGACTTCACACAGGAATCAAAAGGCCTCGCGACGACGTTACAGAGGGAAGCAGCAGCCTGTTGTCTTACAGAAGCGCTGCTCCAACTGGCTGCCGTCATTGATCAGAGACTGATGCAGAAGTACAACGGGACATTTTAGTTTTAGTTTTTGTCATGTCAAAGAATCGTGCAGCTTCTTTCTGTCAAATCCAGAGTTTGGCTCCCTGACTTTAGACACTAAAAGTGCAAAAAAAATACACAAAATTGTTCAAAACAACAACAAAAACATGAGAAATGACCACGAAAATAGACAAAGTGAACATAAAATACATGAAACACAAATATACGAAAACACAAATGTTCAGAAAGATCACAAAAATCCACAAAATGAGCACAAAAGTACACAAAAATGACTATTAAAAGACACAATATTATTCAAAACAGTCGACAAAACATGCAACATGATCACAAAATAACCACAAAAACACAAATTCACCACAAAAATAAACAAAATGACCATTAAAATATACAAAAATATTTAAAACAACCACAAAAAATGCACAAAATTAGCATAAACATACACAAAATGACCCCCACAAATATTCAAAATGATCACAAACATGCAAAAATATACAAAATAACCATTAAAACACACAATGACATTCAAAGCAACCCCAAAAACATCCTAAATGCTCACAAAAATATACAAAATGACCATAGAAATGCACAAAATTACCATAAAAATAAAGAAAATGACTCCACGATTATTCAGTGATCACAAACATACAAATACACAAAAAGTCCTCCTGAAAAATATTTAAAGTGAACAGAAAAATACACAAAATAACCATAAAGAGATTTAAACCAACCACAAAAACATAATGAAAAGCATAAAAATACTTAAAAAGAATAAATAAAATAGACGACCACAAAAACAAGACAAAATAACGATAAAGAATATTTTAAAAAACTTTTTTTTAATTTAAAAAAACTAAAGCTCACATCATATTAAATAATAATAATATTCAAAAAAACCACAAAAATACACAAAATACTCACATTGACCACAAAAACAAAACAAAATGACAACAAAGAGTCCGACTGACCAGAAATATGCTCAAAAACGACAATAAAAAAACACCAAAAATACTCAATATGAGCATAAAAACACACAGAACGACTCACAAACTCCACAAAGAAGCTTAAAAATACTGAAAAAGAACCAAAAAACACCACAAAAGCATGCACCGCGACCAAAAAATGCACACAACGAGACAGATGTAGGCTGCCGACACGTCTTCGTTTAAAGTTTGATTTGAGCACAAAACGTGAATTAAAGGAAAATCGGATTCACAGATTTATCAAGTTGTTCCTGCTCTAATTGTGGATTCTCAGCCTGGAAACAACAAACGATGAAGTGAAAAACGTCCATCTGGGCTCGGATGTGTTGAGACTTGAAGAAAAATGAACCCAGTTGTCTGATGAGAAATGATTCAGTCTGGAGGAAGAAGGTTTGTCATCGAGTCGTTCGCTGATTCTCGATTAGAAGAACTTCGCTGTCGGTTGTTTTTTATTTCCCTGAAGTGACGAACGGCAGCAGAATAAATGTTCCTCCCTCCAGATGTCGGAGCGTCTCCGAGGACGCAGCTGACGGAGTTTTTAATCCACCTCTTTCGAAGGTCGCGTATCGATATGTCCGAACAGCAGAGTCGACATGATGCTGATTTCCATCAAACCCAACAGGGATTCACTCTGCAGGGAGGTGAAGAGCAAATACCTGCCGAACAGTGATCCGTGTGGGATCCAACACGGAAATACACAAAATACGTCCAGGATGACCAGAAATACACGCAAGAAATACTGTGAGTGACCAAACAAACAGACGTAAATACTCACAACAGGTACAAAAATACTGCAAATAGACAAAACGACCACACTACATCATACATCCAACATATATACAAGATACATCTGTCATAGAACCAACAAACAACCAACATACAACCTACATACATCCATCATACATCCAGCATGCATCCAACATACATACAACATATACACAACATACATCCAACAAACAACCAACATACAACCAACATACATCCATCATATATCTAACATACAACCATCATACATCCAACATACAACCAACACACAACCAACATACAGCCATCATACATCCATTATACACCCAACGTACAACCAACATAGAAGCATCATACATCCAACATGCATCTATCATGCACCCAACATACAGCCATCATACATCGAACATACAACCATCATACAACCAATATACATCCAACATACACCCAACACACAACCAACATACAGCCATCATACATCCATCATACATCCATCATACATCCAACATACATCCAACATACAACCAACCTACATCAAACATACATCCAACATATATACAACATACAATCATCATACATCCATCATACATCCAACATGCATCCAACATACAACCAACAAACATCCAACATACAACCAACCTACATCAAACATACATCCAACATACATCCATCATACCACCATCATACATCCAACATACATCCATCATACCACTATCATACATTCAACATACAACCATCATACATCCAACATACAGCCAACATACATCCATCATACAACCAACAGACAACCAACATACATCCATCATACAACCAACATACAACCAACATACATCCAACATACATCCATCATACAACCTACATACATCCAACATACATCCAACATACAACTATCATACATTCAACATACAGTACATCTTGACGTCATTTCCTTTCTATTCCTCATGAAATCTAAACCTTCAAACCTACTTGTGAAAACTCGTCTGCTGCTGGAAACCAAACACCGTCACCAGTTCCTCATACCTTTGACTTTGTGGGTGTTTTCTCCCATTTCCAATGTCAGAACCAGGTCGGAGGCTGCTTCCTCGCCTTCCTCCTGCCCGGCCTGTTTGTGAGTTTGACAGCCTGAGTGGTGACAAATAGAAGAGCTCCACACCATCATTCTCAGAGAAAACACCTCCCAGAGTGTGGAGGGAACGTGGCCCTGCTCAGAGCGCTGGGGAAGATAAAGTGGAGACGGCATCCACTGGAAGGAGGGTAAATTGAATCGCACCCGCTGAATCATAAATACAGATATGAAAACAAAATCAGAAACATGCCGAGAGCTGCCTGAATAGAGACGAGCCACGACACTCGACTTCAAACTCAATTCTTTCCCAGACTTCCCCTCATCACACGTAAAATAAATCTGAATTGATTCCAGCGTGTCGGCCGATGGAAGCTAATGAGGTTTGGCGATGCTGCTGGTGAATTCATCTGCAGGTTAATAAACTGGAATCAACACCTCGAGGCCTCTGGAATAAAAACCACCCTCAACTTTAACTCTGCTGCTTGTTGGTCGGAGTCGAGTTTGTTCGGTGTGTCGGTGCTCGGAGCTGAAATGCAGCAGCTGTGAGACGTAAACGAGGACTTTAGCTCTGTTTAGCAGCAGCGACACGTTAGTGATACCGACCTCAAATGTTTCATCTATCAACTTTAGCTGCTTTCAGTTTGAATTCAGAGGCAGAAAATTCAAACTCTCAAGGTTCCAGATGCATTCAGGGACCCAACAAGGTTGAAGTGACCGATGGTACAGACGCAAAACATCCACGGAGGGACTCAAATGACCACAAAAAGACACAAAATGACCATAAGTATACAAAAAAGACCACAAAATGACCTTAAAAAGACACAAAATAGCCACAAATACAGACAACTTAGCCACAAAGAGACTAAAAGGACCACAAAGAGATTCAAAGTTACCATAATAATAAACCAAAAACAACCTAAATGCAGTGCAAACCACAAAATATTGTAAAATACGAAAATATGATGAAATCTATATGCAAAAAAATAAAACAACCAAACTGTGACACAAAATAACCACAAAGTGATGTGAAATGACCAAAATGTCACGCAAAAACATATAAAACTGCCCAAATATGACAGATATCTGCCACAAAAGATGGCACACTGCCACAATGACATGCAAAACCACCACAAGATGGTGTGACAAAACCAAAATGTGACACAAAAGGCCACACAAATTGTGATGACAAAAAAAGTAATAGAACTACATTGTGACACAAAACAACCTCATTAGGATGTAGAGCAAACAAAATGTGAAGGAAAATAATCACAAAGAGAAATAAAATCATCAAAATAGAAGACGCAAAAAAACTCAGAATTGCAGAAAATTATCACATAAAGATGACAAATTATCACAATGAATGTAATAAGCTATAAACTGAAGCCTTTTATTGTTTCCAGTGTGGCAGGAGGGTGGAACTCCAGGTGAAACTCAGCAGTGACCTGACGAAGCTCCGCCTCAAATATACGACATATCAGAGACAATCCAGGTGACACTTTGTTCCTGTTCAGGTGTCGGAGAGAAGAGACGCAGCAACAGACGGACGGTAAGATTTGCTTTCAGCACACAGACAGCTGGGACAGTTAGAGCAGGACTGAAACTCTTCACCTGAACCTGCTGCTGACTGAAAAACACTCAGAGAGCAACTTCCTGCTGCAGGAAG